AACTAATTACACACCGACCACTCCACCTACTACCTTCACACCATCTATCCCTGCACTTGCTAATTACACACCGACCATTGCTTCAGTAATACCGAATCAGCGAATACTTGTGTCAACCCAACGACGGATTTGACACATGAGAAGGCACCTCAACGATTCCAGAATATGCAACGCGTAACCACTCGCATCCGCTCCATTTCCAGTTGAAGGGCATTTTTGTTGGCTTGGCTCGCTCTTATCCGTTACGGACAGCAACACAAAGAAGAATCGACTGGATTGGATTTGAAATAATTGGATTTATATTTGATATTTGAAAAATATCAGATTGGAGTCCTGTTTTTACAAACTTCTTATAGTGTTTGGTGCAGTGCCGCCTGCATGCATTCTAAACAGTTGACGAGGCCGCCGACATTTTGATAAAGAAGAAGGCTGTCTAGTTTTTAGTTGAAATTTGATGACCATTGATCCTCATAGTTTCCGGAAGAAGACACCGCTCTGAGGAGCTTACCAAGTAAGGGAGGAGTATTATGGACGCAATTATTAGCCATGGACTAAAGAGGTCAATTGATTTAAATGGAAAAAACAGCATAGACGCTTCAATATGACCGGTATAATTTAACGGCTGGGAGTCAGGTTATTTAATTTAATTTGATGACCCTAGGTTGGGCAGGGTGAAAGGTCGTTTTGCTTCAATGGCTTTATAATCAATCTACTAATCTTCTATCAAGTTTTTTTAACGGCTTTACTATCCAGGTCTCAATGGATGTTGCCGTTGCGGATATATGAGGGAGCCCCTGTTGCTGTTTTCAGAATTTTAGATGGCGCTTGATTTCTACTGTTCCCAAGCTTTTATATTGTGCTCGCTACACAGAAGCCGTGGCTTGAACCGGCTGAAGTTCATGGCCGTAAGTTCCATGGGCTGTCCTTCAGCCTCGGGTTGGTCTTCTTTGCTTCTATTTGTTTTCTCCAGGTATGTCGCCTATCTAAGTAGGTACCAAGAAAGGGTTACGTCGTCCACTTGTGGAATTGGTGAATTGATTGGGGCTAGCTATGGACAATGGTCTCGGTTGAGTGTAAAAGTGTCTGTCCGTATGAACGCTGAGATCTCGGAAACTATAAAAGCTAGAAGATTGGCATTTTGCATGTAGATTTTAGGAGTTCCTACGCAGCGCAAGTTTGTTTCAAAATGGTGCCACGCCTCCTCTGACGCCCACAAGCCACAAGCTGTGGCCACAGTTTTGATGCTATTATGAAAATTTTAATTGATATGTATTTGTTTCGTCAATACCTATCCAGGCCAATCTATCTAGGCCAATCGCCTAATAAAAGATTGCCACGCCCACGCTTAAGCCTGGCTAGCGCCTACATTTCCGCCTTTCATGGCGCGGGTAGATGGCGCAATACAATGCGCCATCTAACGGATGACTTTGGAACAGCTGGCCAAGGTGCTCAACAGAGTCAACGTTAATTCTCGATAAGGATTTCTATTAAAGGAAATTGCGATAGTTTTCATTTGTGAATACCGAACTATATCCCAAGAACTATGCAAATCAAATCAAGTTAGCCAAATTGGAGGTCTGAGTCAAACAATGGCGTATGTGTGTATGCTGGTGCAGGACAAAAGCTGCCTGCGCTAAAGCAGAGCTGGTGCTGATGCTCGTGCTGTAAAGCTGCCAGCGCTTAGAGAACGCCTAATTCAAATTGATAATTTTAACTTTTTGTCCCTTTTTTCCTGTGTTCACTCTAATTCACATTATGTTAATGCAAAATCTAAAGTTGTTTAGCTGAGTAACGGGTATCTAATAGTCGAGGCACTCGACTATAGCGTTCTCTCTTGTTTTAGTATTGAATTGATTATAGTGGTGATTTATATAACTGCATACTTAGGTAACTCCTTTATCATTTTAGGCTAGATGTCATGGCCAGGGTCTGAGAATATGCGGCTCATCTTGTTAAACAAGCAAACAAGAGCCCCAGCATTGAAGTTTTGCATTTTAGTCACCTGCTGATTGAAGGGTAGCGGATATTATGAGTGAGTAAAGTACGTTTAGAAGTGGCCTGTAGGTAGTTAGTAGCAAACGTATCTGATATTATAATGGACTTGTCTTTTGCAGAGTCATTTATATTGACTTTTTTTTAAAGAAGGTTTTGGTTTTGTGTCATTTCTTGAAGTGTGCTTTGAATCCACAGCATAATGTTTGTAAGCACAGGTAGAATAGATTCCTTCTTTTAAGCTAGAATGTGTATCCAGAAAATTCGTGACAGATCGGCAGCTTACTTCACTAATCACCTGCGGCTTGGTCTCGCATTATCTTGTTTAATATTCGTTATGAAAAAGCAGAGCCCCCATAGGCTGATGTAGTAAGTGAATCGATTGGTGAGAGGACACATTGGCATTGCAAGCTCCATGACTGTGCATAAAAGTCGGGGAAAAAAAACGTAATTTATCGGGTGCGGTTAACGACATTCCGTTGTTTTTGTCGGTAATTTAATGTGAAATTAGGAATACTTATAAAGAATTAAATATATGGGGCCAGTCAATAAGCATTACCATTTATTGTTAACAAACACTAATAACATATTATTTTTAAGGTATAAAGCAATCATAAATTTGAGCAACAAACTCGACTATGTCTCCCCTGGCAGCCCCACATATTGGCCAGCTGACCCCAGAAAACTCCCAGACTTAATTGACTTCGCTGTGACCAAGAACATCCCAAGAAATTTAGTCAGCGCCAAATCGCTATCGGACTTATCATCGGACCACTCGCCTGTTTTAATAACTCTCCTTCAAAGCCCGAAAGTAATCGAGCACCCCTTCAGGCTGACCTCGACTAGAACTAACTGGCTAAAGTACAAAAAGTACGTAAGTTCCCACATTGAACTAACACCACAGTTAAACATAGAGAACGACATCGACTTCTGTGCTGATGCCCTGGAGTCAGTACTCGTGGCAGCAGCCAAAATCTCAACACCAGAAGAGACAATCGTGCGTAGCAACCAATACAAAACTAATCTGCAAATCGAACAACTGGTTCGGGAAAAACGACGTCTACGACGCGTTAGGCAATCCTGCAGATCGCCCCATTCGAAGCAACTCTATAATGATGCCACCCGCAGACTCACCAAAACCCTCAAGCAAGAAGAGGTGCTTGAGCAGCGCCGGTACATCGAGAAACTGTCGCCGACCAGTACAAAGCATCCTTTGTGGAGAGCTCACCCAAATTTAAGCTCTCCGATAGAATCAGTCACTCCGATTAGAAACTCCTCGGGTACTTGGGCCCGCAGTGACGAAGACAGAGCCGAAACATTTGCTTTACACCTACGAAATGTATTTCAGCCGAACGCCGCCACAAACTCTCTTCAACTACCGCCGTTTAGCTCTGAAATTGCAATTAACCCGATTTTGTTTCAAACACCTGAAATTGCTAACGTCATTAGGAAGCAAATAAAACCGAAAAAGACTCCAGGGGCCGACCTAATAACCCCAAAAATGATAATTGAACTTCCAAACTGCGCAGTGGATGTTATATGCAAGCTATTTAACGGGATCGCAAAACTTGGCTACTACCCCAAAAAATGGAAAAAGTCCGTGGTTATAATGATACCGAAGCCTGGCAAAGACCACACAATTCCCTCATCGTACAGGCCAATAAGCTTACTATCGTGCCTGTCCAAATTACTGGAAAAATGCCTGCTCACGCGCATTACACCATATTTAGGAGAACAAAACTTAATCCCGGCACATCAATTCGGGTTTCGTGAAAGCCACGGAACCATCGAGCAAGTCAACCGGATAACTTCAGAAATTCGTACAGCCTTCGAACATCGGGAATATTGTAGTGCGATATTCCTCGACGTCTCTCAGGCATTCGACCGAGTGTGGCTTAAAGGCCTTATGCATAAAATCATAACATTACTGCCAGAAAACACTCATAAGTTACTTAAGTCGTACCTCTACCACAGAGTCTTTGAGGTTAGATGCAATACAACGACATCCAACGAGTATAACATTGAAGCCGGAGTCCCACAAGGTAGCGCCCTGGGCCCTACCCTGTTTATCCTATACACAGCAGACATCCCTACGAACGAGAGGCTGACTACGTCCACATTTGCTGACGACACCGCAATCCTGAGCCGCTCGAGATGCCCAACTAGAGCAACAGCTCAACTGGCTGATCATTTGGAGGTAGTTGAAAAGTGGCTATCAGACTGGCGAATCAAAATTAATGAACAAAAGTGTAAACATATAACGTTTACCCTTAACAGACAATCGTGCCCGCCGCTAACTTTGAATGGTACGCAGATTCCCCAAGCTAGCGATGTAACATATCTCGGCGTCCACCTCGACAGACGCCTAACCTGGCGAAGGCACATTGAATGCAAGAAAGTACATCTCAGACTTAAAGCTAGCAGCCTACACTGGATTATAAATTCTCGATCACCCCTGTGTCTGGACTTTAAAGTTCTTCTCTACAACTCCACCCTCAAGCCCATTTGGACCTACGGCTCTCAGCTCTGGGGGAACGCGAGCAACAGCAACGTTGACATCATACAGCGCTCACAATCAAAAATCCTGCGAACAATCACTGGGGCACAATGGTATGTTCGGAACGAAAACATCCACAGGGATCTGGGCATACCACCGGTCAAAGATGAAATAGCAAAGCAGAAAGCGGCCTACCATAACAAGCTTACACTGCACCCAAATAATCTCGCAAGGAACCTAAGACGGGTTTCGAACAGAACTCGTCTGCATCGTAACGATCTACCAGCCCAGCAATAAATATTAGGGCCCGTTAGTCTAAATTCAGTCTACATGACTGTAAGTTAAGTTATATTCTTAAGATTTGATATACTTATTGTTAGTCTCATATAGAGAAGATTCAATAAATAAAGCATATATTTACAAAAAAAAAAAAAAAAAATATAATGATAATGTTTACCAATTTTACAAGCATAAGATATAGGTTTGTATTAAAACTAGAATTTCAGCTTACCAGATTTTCCGTTGATATCCTTAGCTTTTAAATTTCTCGCTTTAATCAATGTTAAAGTTAAAATTGAGTTCGACGGGTGATAGCAAAGTGAGGAAAGAAGTTCTCCGCATTTGTCCTTGGCAGGGGGCTTTAATGCCTTCCAAAAGGACTGCTTTCCAGCAAAATCAACCTTATTTAATAAACAAATGCAAGCATTTTTACTATATATATTGAAATAATTTTTTTAATAAGTTGTTACCTGACATAGGGGAAGAAATACTTCTCCTATGGAGTCATCTCTTGAGAATCGGTCGTAATCAAATACATGTAGGTGTAAAACCTACAAAATTTGATATATCTACAGTTATTTTTTATAAATAATTTTTTTTTTTAATTTTATATTTATAGAGGAATAAGAATTAATACTCGGAAGGCACCTTATCTGTTGTAATCTGTGAGAGTATTGGTAAAATTCGAGTACCCACCCGTTAACGTTTAATGGTTATATTTTTAATTCAATATATTTTATTATTTGGACGTTGATGCACTGTGATTACTATAGAATATTGGCATTTACAAAACCAAGCAGTGCTTGTTACGTTGGGCACCCTATATCGTTTGGCGTACCACATGTATAACAAGGACAATATAGGAACATACCGTCAAAGTAGCTTAATGAATAAAAGTGGGGAACAAGTATCGCTTACGCACAGTGGGCAAGCATACATGGATGCGTGGTTTGAAAACCTGCCCAAAAAGATCTGACATTTTTTAATAAGAATGAGCATTTTTATGCGTGGAAACGGCAATTTGAGAAATTTAAAATAGGTTTAATAAAGAATGCTTAAATTAATTATTCAAACTAAATTTATTGTCAGAAAATTTTTAGGCGTGAGAACTCTTAATTAAGCCACTGAGGCTTATTGGAATTTGACAAAAATAATGGATCATTCGTGTAAAATAAATATTTTAATGCATAATGCAAACTGTTGACACCTTTAGGAAAGAATACCTAAGTCTAGAAAAACAATATATTTAATGTGTTAAATAAATGTTATTAAAATAAGGCGTTAAAAAAATTAAGTTTTTGTTTGTTGTTACTTAACCAAGAGAATCGGTCAATTCCAAGGACATAAAGTTTTTACTGGTTGAGTCAGAGGTCATTCTTTTCGGTTTGAAGCTTATTTAGAATTTTAAATGTAGTAATTTATTCAGATTTTCAAATTATATTTTGAACTTTATCCAGCTTTTTCTTCTACCGAAAAGCCTAATATAATAATTATAGTTATAATACAATTTTTAAATAAATTACAATTATTTAGGAAACTGTTCTAACTATTGTTCCTGGTTGGGAAAGTTTTGCTTTCACCTTGTCGATTTCGTCTTAAATCTATATGACTATTTAAATTCTGTATGTACCAAGATCCCAAAGCAGCTTTTAATACTTCTTTGCCATGCGCGGCAGTTGATTAGTAGTTTCGCTTAGATGGAGGACTGTCGTAAATGCTTCCAAAAATGTAAAACAATATTTTAAACATTAAGTAAAACAAGAAAGGAAAGCTAACTTCAGGCGGAGCAGAAGTTGATATACCCTTGCAGAATATTCTGTAAATTATATTCTCCAAAATTATTCATATGATGCATTCTTAATACTCATAGAAAATCCCAACTTCCTAACTTTAAAAATACAAAACTTATGGCTTTTCCAATCGTTCAGTTATATGGCAGCTACTGGATGTAGTCGGTAGATCCTTATGAAATTTGGTAGGTCATTTCCAATCGTTCATTTCCGATCGTTCAGTTATATGACAGCTATAGGATATAGTGGGCCGATCCCGGTCGTTCCGACTTATGTACTGCGTGCAAGCACTAACCATACAACATATAGACTGGTCATTTCATACAACGAATTTGGTCACAAAATTTTTCACTCGGGGGGCCCCAGTGCTGGAATCGGCAGGCCCCGACACTTCGTGTGCCTTCGGGTTTTTTCGCTCTCGTTCTAATTCTTATTTTGACGCTCGCGCTCGAGTTCGGTCGTTCAGTCGCAGAGACGCGCATTTTGAAGAAGGTTGGCCTGCGCTTGAATTGGGCTTTGTATGTATGCGTGTTCATGCATTCTCATACAGGGGTGCATGTGTGCGATCATTTCATTTCGATGCAGCAAGAATATTTTGTCTTTTGCTACTTTTCAGACTTGGTACCCTAACAATATGGGCGTATTCACTATTGGGTTAATGATAAAAATAAGAATATTATATGTTATAATATATTTTAAATATTTCAGCATATATTTCATCTTGGTTTACAAATTCAAATCAGTGGTAGCAAAAAAATATTTTGCATATATGTATGTATTCCAATTAATAGAAATCAATCTACTGATATAGGAACAGGGCACATCGCAGTCGGTGTCTGCGCTTAGTGGTTCAGAAAACTTCAAACCAAATCAGCTTTGGTTGTTGTTCTGCGAGCGTATGGTGCCTGCATAGCCTACCGACGATTGAATTTTAGGGGTGGGTACAGAAACAAGAACGTTTTTTAGGACACTTGTTTTGAATGTTATGTTTAATGATAATTAATTTTATAATTTTTTTTATATTAAAAATCATTAAAAGTTTACTTCTTGATTTAAAATAGTAATATAAATTTAAGAAAATCACTTCAAATTTTTTTGTCTGTACTTTTTAGTGGATAAACAATTTGTTATTTTCCAAGATTAAAACTATAAAATTATTATATGTACATATGTATATTTATCGGTAACTAATTCAAGCGGCGACTTTCAAGAATAAGCAAACATAAAAATATATATAACTAGATCATTAAATAACAACATTAAACAAAATTACACTGCGAATCAAAAAAAAATCAACCAAAACTCATTAAACATATCATTCAAAACAAGTGTCCTAAAAAATGTAAACAAAACAAAAGCCAAACAGCCGTTCTTGTTTCTGTACCCACCCCTAAAATTCAATCGTCGGTAGGCTATGCAGGCACCATACGCTCGCAGAACAACAACCAAAGCTGATTTGGTTTGAAGTTTTCTGAACCACTAAGCGCAGACACCGACTGCGATGAGCCCTGCTCCTATCTCAGTAGATTGATTTCTATTAATTGGAATACATACATATATGCAAAATATTTTTTTGCTACCACTGATTTGAATTTGTAAACCAAGATGAAATATATGCTGAAATATTAAAAATATACTATAACATATAATATTCTTATTTTTATCATTAACCCAATAGTGAATACGCCCATATTGTTAGGGTACCAAGTCAGAAAAGTAGCAAAAGACAAAATATTCTTGCTGCATCAAAATTAAATGATCGCACACATGCACCCCTGTATGAGAATGCATGAACACGCATACATACAAAGCCCAATTCAACCGCAGGCCAACCTTCTTCAAAATGCGCGTCTATGCCATGATACAATAACATAAGGTAGTCTCGTCGGCTGTCTAAACGTTCGGGTTTTGGTCAGTGCGTGTTCGTCTTTCGAAGGGAAAGGTTGTCTGCGGACGAATTTTTTAGGAAATTAACCCTTGAGCAACATGACATTTTGCAATGTGTGCCGCAAACACGTCGATGGCGTAAAGGCACCGAAATGTTTGGAAAAAAGAGCGCTGTGGGAGGAATCGCTGTGATACTTTTAAAATAACAAAGAATGTAAAAGAAACTTTAATAATCGCAACCGAAAATATTAGTATAAGTTTTTATGTCTAAACTTATACTAACATTTTCGGCTGCGATTATTAAAGGTTCGTTTACATTCTTTGCTATTTTAAGATTAGAATATATTTTAAAATTAAGAATCTCAACAAAAGACTCAGTATTCAGAGGCAAAAACAACGCCTAATTTCAAATTCAAAACAAGAGAGAACGCTATAGTCGGGTGCTCCGACTATCAGATACCCGTTACTCAGGTAAAGGGAGTGCGAGGGAGATGGAGATAGAAACTTTGATCACGCATAACTTTTTAACGAATGGTCCGATTTGAAAAATTTCTTCTACATTTCGATAGGTATTGATAAACACAATAAAACTGCATTTTTACTTTTCCGAAATATTTAAATTTTTTAAATCGTATATAAGCGATTGTGGGCGTTTAAGGGGGCGTGGCACCTTTTTGAAACAAACTTGCGCTGCGTAGGAACTCCTAGAATCTGAATGCAAAATGCCAATCTTCTAGCTTTTATAGTTTCCGAGATCTCAGCGTTCATACGGACAGACAGACAGACGGACAGACAGACGGACAGACGGACAGACGGACAGACGGACAGACGGACATGGCTATATCGACTCGGCTAGTGACCCTGATCAAGAATATATATACTTTATAGGGTCGGAAACGCTTCCTTCTAGCTGTTACATACTTTTGCACGAATACAATATACCCTTTTACTCTACGAGTAACGGGTATAATTATTAAAAATTAAATTATAAAAAAAAATTAAACTCCTTTTATTATGAAAGGCAAAAAAAAACCCCCTGAACCATCTAAGGGTTAATCCACACATTCTATTGTCGCTCTGCTCGCACTTACTAAACAGTTGCCATTTCACTCGCACTCATTGTTTTAATAGTAGGGTTCCAAAATTTGCCGACGAGACTACCTTATGTTATTGTATCATGGTCTATGCGACTGAACGACCGAACTCGAGCGCGAGCGTCAAAATAAGAATTAGAACGAGAGCGAAAAAAACCGAAGGCACACGAAGTGTCGGGGCCTGCCGATTCCAGCACTGGGGCCCCCCGAGGGAAAAATTTTGTGACCAAATTCGTTTTATGAAATGACCAGTCTATATGTTGTATGGTTAGTGGTGCAAGGAAACGAAGGGTGTGTGCAAAGTTTCAATTCGATATCTTTAAAACTGAGAGACTAGTTCGCGTAGAAACAGAAAGACGGACAGACAGACAGGCGGACATGCTTATAGGGTCTCCTTCACTGGGTTGCAGACTTTTGACCACAATGAAGCTAGCTTTTTGCCATCGTTTCTAGGATAGCTATATGATTTTGTTGCGCGATTTTGACAATACTAAAAGTATATCTCAAAGGAATATTTTAATAAATAGAAAAACAGCAAAATACATTTTTTTAAAATATTTTAATAAATAGAAAAACAGCAAAATAAATTTTTTTTAATATTTTGATTTTTCTATGGGAGCTACATGTATGATATAGATGTCAGATTTTAATTGAATTACAACCGTAATTCCATAGTATTCAAATATAAACAAATCCCAAAGAACAAAAAACAACAATTAAAAACAACAAAGTTATACTTTTAACATTTTTTTTTTCCGATTGTGCCTATGGGAGCTATAT